GCCCCCAGGCCGCGATAAGATTGCAGATGCCCCACCCCCAGGACTGACAACGTGAGCAAATGCCCCGCGGTTGCCGGGGGGGGGGGGATGGGCACTGCAGGAATTGACTGATGCATTAGTCTTGGTGGGGTCATGTTGCGAGAAATGATTTTGCAAAAGACACAAACATTCTCCGGTTGCCGTTACCGTGCGTGAAGTATTCGAAAACAAATTCTGCCAATTTGTAAAAGTTCTTTCGACTTCGTTTTATGTTTGTCTGGTTTGGTGGAAGCAAGAAATTTAGAGATTTGGGCGAGTTTTCGGATTGCGTTCAAAATATTTGCGCAAAGCTCCCGTGTTTTGCAGGACATGCAGGTAGCGGTTTTCCATGTAATTCGCGTAAAGGGATGGCACAGGAGACAAAAGTTAACTCTTCGTTGTTTTCTTTCCTTATTTTACACAAAGTGTTGACACCACTGTACTGTCCTGAATGCCCTTGTGTACGTGACGGCTAGACGTGACGCATGCTGAGACGAGCTTATTTTACGCACGAAGTTTACAGGCCTATTTCTCAACTGATAATATCAGATTTCTGGTTGCGAAAAAGTTATTGAAGTTGTTCAAAGTTCTTAACGCAATTATTCGTTCATAACTTCGGTGTATCTGTATCTAATATTGGCAGCGTTACATTTTCATTTGTTCAACGCACTCAACGGGAGAAAATGGAAGACCGTAATATGGCCAATGAAATTTTGACGACGATAACCTCTGTTCTCTCTCTTTTTGGCACAGTTTTCATCGTCATTTCTTTCTTCATGTGGAAGGATATTCGAACAACCTCAAGGCGAATTCTTGTTTACATTTCCATTGCAGACTTCTTCACATGCGTGGCAACTATCGCTGCAGTCACGAATTTTTGGTTATCTGGAAGTGAGAACCCGCAAGTTTGTCTTGTGCAAAGCGTAATCGGAACTCTCTCAGTGCTGTGCTCTTTCTTCTGGACGGTTTCAATGGCTGTGTATTTGTACATCTCCGTCTGCATGAAGAAATCGCGTTTAGCTGAGAGGTTAATGTACGTTTTTCATGTTTGTTCGTGGGGAATTCCTTTATTAATCGTAACCCTTGCCGCATCATTGCATAAGCTTGGAGACAATGGTAGCAAGGTTTCTGCAGGATGGTGTTGGGTCAACATAAACTTGAACTGGAGTGACCAAGTGTTCTGGATGCTGTTGGCTGGAAAATTGTGGGAAATAATTGCATCTGTCGTTATTGCTGTACTCTACGCTTTGCTTAAACAGAATATGAAGAAAGAGGTAACAACAATGTGGAAACTGTAAATTAAGTAATAATATTTTTTTTTCAATTAATTATATTTTATATTAGAAGTCATGTATAAGGCACTCATAATTAACAATTAGATTATGAGCTCGAGATTTCTATGGAGTAATGTCGTACCTCAGTAAAGCGACGTTCTGATTGGCGCTTATAGACCGTGCGTGCTCCGTTCGGTTACTATTGTTAAATCAACCAATAAATACTCTGCTACGCTTGCTACAACAGTTAACGAATTGGCCAATCACAAAGCTCGTTCAGTGTGATACGGGACTACTGTTTCTATGAGGTGATAGTTGGTGAGGCCGTAGAATCAACTATTTAAACAATAGAGTGTTTCTGTCGAGGAACTATCGGCTGATAGTTGCCCCGCGGAAATTTGATGTTCTTAAAACAAATATTTGCCCTCGAA